CCCCAAAACCCCAAAACCCCAAAACCCCAAAACCCCTTTCATAAATATGCATGTTGAGGAATTTCAATTTAACTGTCCAGCTTAATGTTAGCACCGTACATCGAGAGCTTCTCTCGCAGATTCTAGCTGGTCTGGTGAAAAATGGCTGAATTAGCAAAGGGAAACCTACTCCTATTGTTACCTCTGAGAGAGCATGCACTGTGTCGATCCATTCTTTCTCGCTTAGTAGGAGATCTGTTGGAGCTATAGCTGGATCAGTAACAGAGAACTTACACTAAAACTTATTTGCTCTCGATTCGCTTCAGGATTGTTGTATGCACCTTGATCTGGATCTACTGCAACGTTCTTTCTCTTCTTGATAACTGTATAAATAAAGACAGCTATAATGAGACAGGAACCATACTTATTGAGAAAAGAGCATTGAAAATACTATTTGAGACCAACACCCAGTTAAAAAATTGAAGCTTTTGTATTGTTCCAGTGTGTTTCCTTGTAATGGAAGAAGAGGAATGAGCAAAATCCAAGGTAAAACACCTCATTGACTACCTCTGTGATGTTTTCAGGGACTTTCTGGAATGGCCTACGGTTCGGGTTAGGTTGAGGAATAGATATATTTTTCTCAATAACTCATATTTTGTTTTAATCTTACCTAATAGCACATATCATAAGTCAGTGGACCAAGTTCACCACTGAATAAAGCCCAAGGAAGAGAGATCTCTGCAAGAATCTTAAGTCTATATATTAGATATCAATAATTTCCTTACGGATTATCATCAAGCACAAGATAGCTCTTCTGATTAAGAACATCAGAGGATGGAGCCTAGCCATTCTGGCTGGCTTGAACCCTTCAAATAGTTCACGTCGTAGGAACTTCTTCTTGATGATTTTTGTGTTTATCCAAACTCCTATCACAGTGCAGAAAATCACTAGTATGAACCCACAGAAGAAGAATGCTGAGTAGGAGGAAGCTTGCTCAGGACCAGAGTTTGTTACCTCAAACCTTCTCAGTTCAGAAAATACACACAGTCATAAGTTGATAAATCCTTCATAAATCAAGACTACATACATTCCGAATGTAAAGGCGCTGCATACCTTCCTGAAGAATCTGGGGATTATGCGATTAGACTTCTTGCTACATTTTTCGAGTAGCATGAAGATAAGGTGGCTCACAATAAATACCATCATGATTGCAATCAGTATGTTTAGGTTGAGCAACGTGCTTCCAGAACTGATATCTATCATATCTAAGTCAACTCTCTCTTGAGGGTAGTCGAACCAATCAGCTAGCTTCTTGAATACGATGAAAAAGCTCCAGCCAATTTTGATGTTAAATAAAGATGATGACAAAGACCTGAGATAGTTTATCACTTTCAAAGACAGAAAGATATCTAGTAGCAATAGAAGCACCAAGAGTTGGAGCTGGTTTCAAGAAGATAATACAGAATTTGTAGATGACTTACTCATCATTCCTCCAATGATATTGAGAGATACTACAACTGCAATAATTGAAATCATCGAGCCTTGCATAGCCTTTTCTTGGTCACTTAAAGGGATAGATTTATAGTATCGTTGACATTGAGTTGGACTAGATTGATCTCATCTCCATCCAATTTCAACCTCATCTCAACTTGAAGACCATCCATCACCATCAATAGTGTTGCCATCATCGCAAGGTTCTGAGCCTGCTCTATATCCGTCACCTCATTGAGTAATTCATGCTGTAGGGTTTAAAGGATCATTCTGATGAATCCCAAAGTACATTCAGTTCATTCACTTTTTGATATTGATGAACCTCCTGAACAAGCCCAGCTAGACTCTACTGCTGTTCAATCCGCTTTGCACCCATCTCCATCAGCAGTGTTTGCATCGTCGCAGACTTCTGTGCCTACTTTATATCCGTCTCCTCAATGGGTTACTCAGTAAGTTGGGTTTGATAGGTCGTTTTGGTAAAAACCTTGTGTGCATTCAGTTCAGATACTTTTAGCCATTGTTGTTCCTCCTGATCAGACCCAACTAGTCTCTACAGTAGTTCAGTCAGACTTGCACCCATCTCCATCGGCAGTGTTTGCATCGTCACAAGCTTCAGTGCCAACTACGAAGCCATCCCCTCATTTAGGCCTGCACTGATCAGTAGTTGAAGGAGTTTGCTCATATTTCGATTGACATCCTACAGAAATCTGAACTGGAGAATTTCCTACATCAGACTTGATTGCAAACCTCTCTGCAGGAATAGGTACAGAGCCAGCGCCGATGTCCCACTTGAGGGTGATGCCTCCAGGTCCTCCGTAATCAATCCAGTCGATTTCGATATCATAGGCTTGAGATGCAACAAGGTTGTAGGCAACTGTGGTAGTAAACACAGCATCAGTTGGAAAGTTACTGATGAGTTCTATTACATTAAGCATGCATATACATTGAAGCACCGTTGTCTTGCACCAAGGTGAGGCTGGTTGGCCCTGTGTAGGAGGAGATCATTCTGGTATTCAGCCTTGCTGCCAAATTAGCGACTCCAGGAGTAATGTCTCCCCAATAATAAAAGTCGAGGTTTCTAAGCATTACGATATAAATTACGGAAGTGAGTTCATGTAGTATGGAGACCCAGATATTGAGAAGCTGCGATAGTATTTGGCTGACACCCCTAAGTTGTTCACATGCACCACTGATACAGTGGCATCTCCAATATGGTTCAATGTAAAGCTGGTAGAGTAAGTTCCATCTCCATTGTCAGTGAATTGTTGCGAAATCTCTCCACCGTTGGTTGCACTCTGAGTGAAAGTTGATGGAATTCAGACCATATTGGCACCTCTAGTGCAAGGGTCTGTGATGAGCAAGTTAATTTCTTCTCCACCTGTTGATAAACTATTACCAGAAGAGTCCTTCGCTTGCACAACAATTGTATAAGTCTGGTTGATCAATAAGTTATCTCCCGAGGCGATCCCAGAGATGGTACTCTGAGCAGGGTTAAATGCTTGGGCTATACCATGTTTATAAGAACCAAAAACCCATTTCCTCTAAAGCAAGGCATGGCATGAATATGAACCAAAATTATTCTATACTTCCATGATACTATTAACTACGAAATGCTAATAAACAAATTCTGTATAACTTTCAAACTCTTTGTGAATCTTTAGTCTATTGCACCCAAGGATATTTCAGCATGATTCAAACTTCTGTACGTACCTGATATTACCTGAATAACTACCCACAACATTATTCAGAATCTAAACGCATTATGAGAGAATGAAGAAAAGTAGCTTTGACATGAGTTCAAGCAATGATAATCTTGAAATTTATTTTAACATTTGCAAAAATCTCTTCTCTCGGCAGTATAAATGCTAAAGAGCTAAGAACAGATAGAAAAATAGGACAGAGTCTTCTTTCCAAGTCATTAGCAAAATTTCATAAACAAAACTCTTCAAATTGGGAAACAGAGATGAGGAAGATAATCCAGTGCTAAAATTTCGCTAGAGGTTGTATTAAGGAGCTACTTTCCACTTCTGCGGGTCAGATTCACTCCCTGAGTATTTCCTAGCCTCTAATAACTGTTTGGAAACTAGCTGTACTGCTCTAGCTTACTTTGTAGCAGAATGCATTTTGGGTATAATTTTAATTATTTTAGATTCCATCTCCTTATCACTAGAAGGGGTTTTGGGGTTTTGGGGTTTTGGGG